GCGCAAAACCACGTTCATATTCGCGCGATTTTTTGCGCAGCTCGTCTGTGAACAACGGCTCTGTGTAGTTAATGCTGCTCAATGTGAAAGCACGCACGTGATGGAGATTTACCGCTGATTACAGAACCAGCTTTCTGACAAGATGCGCGTTAAATATCGCATGCGATTTATCGTGCAGCCCTATCACACATGTAATTATCTTTCTCTCTGCTCTGCTGACTCTGATATCACTGCACCGCTTTGGTAACCCTAACCCATTCAGTCCCTTAAACCAGTAGACCAGCTCATCTGTGTCCCATCACTCTGACAGCAGATCCTGAGGCTCACGATGAAGGGGCATTTTGTTGCATGGATGGATGGATGGAGTAGAAAAGGGGGCAGTGCTCCAGTGCAGGGAGGCAGGAATATTGCAGCATGTGCATTTACCCTCTTGAATGCTGAGATTTATAAAGCGCAAGAGAACACGCTCTCCCAGAGAGACAGCCGTGTGTAGGAGTTTGGTATTGGTCTTAACGCTCACCCTAACATACAGCTGTTTTTTTCCGCTTTGTGCTTCTCAGAGATAAGTGTGAAAAGAGGCGGGAGCAATTGACACTCTCTCTGACTCTGGTCACTGTGTGTGTGTGTGTGTGCACTTGTGGGTGTGTATGCCAGCCAAGTCACGCTCCTCCAGCTCGGCATTATGTAACCGTCCTCTCAGTCCTAATGCATTTCTCAGAGTTTTGTCAAAAGCCTAAGGGGGTAGTTTCTGGCCTTTTTGGGTCTTGTAAAAATGATTCAGGTATAGCATGAATGATTGTTCTTCTGCATGCAGAATTCAAATATTGTTTTCATTCCGTTTGATTTACAGAAGCTGCTACTCTGGTAGTCTTGCAATGTTTAGGTTGGTACACACTAGTTATCACTTATGGATAATTTTAACCAATAGCCAAAAAAAAACTTTTCCAACCAGTTCCTAATAGGTCAAATGAATCCCAAAATTCTAAATTAAAAAAAAAAAAATGTCATTCCGAAATAAGTTATACCAAGACAAGACAGTAAAGTGGTTTGCAAATAGCAGGTTAAAATAGTTCTCTCAAAAATGAAAATTCTGTCATCATTTACTCACTTTCATGTTGTTTCAAACCAGTTTTTCTTTCATCTGCTGAACACAAAAGAAGATATTTTGAAGAATGTGGGCAACCAAACTGTTTCTGGACCCCATTGACTTCCATAGTATCATTTTTTCCCCCATGCTATGGGGACCTGTTTGGTAACCCACATTCCACAAAATATCTTATTTTGTGTTCAGCAGAACAAAGAAATTCATACAGGTTTGGAACAAAATGAGTAAATGATGACAGAATTTTCTTTTTTGGGTGAACTGCCCCTTTAACACTCTGATCCAACAAAACCACTGGCGACAGTCGGGACAAAGTGAACTAGCCTTTCATTTGAGAAGGAAACGTGTCATTCGTCTTTAGAATTGTATGAGGAGCAGATGGCATTTTCACACAGGCAGGATTAAGTACTTGTGTATATTATACTGTATCCGTGATGTCAAATCAATAAGCATTACCATATTTGATATCTAGAGGTCTGAGAGGGAAAGACACTAACTGCATTACACAGATGGCATCATTGAGTTTGTATACTATGTCCAGTGCTTCATAGTAACACATGCTTTTGCACTGAGATTCTGATTTCATAATGCAACATCGTATTAACAGGCTCTGACAGACTCTGTGTTGCTTCATGCTGTGGTCAGTCTGTGTAAACACAGCTGCAAGGAAGTTTACCACAAAAGAGGATATTTAAAAGTACTCAACCATAATGTTACACTTCATGAAAATGTTTTGAATGCTTGATGTTGTATGTTTATTATAATTATTAACATTTATTATGATTAATAAAATGGTTGTATATGTCTTATAATAAAATTATATATAATACATTTAAAAAATATTAAAAAATATTATATACTACCATTCAAAAGTTTGTGGTCAGTAAGGTTTTAGTATTTGTCCTTTTATTTAGCATTTTTTGCAGGATGCATTTATGATATCAAACATTTCTATTTCGATGATGAAATGGAAATAAATGCTGTTCTTCTGAACTTTCTAGTTATCAAAGAATCTTGAAAAAAAAATGACAATTTCCACAAAAATATTAATGGGAACAACTGGTTTCAACAATAACTATAAGAAATGTGTTCTTAGCACCAAATCAGCATATTAGAATGATTTCTAAATATTTGAATATTAAAATGGCTGCTAAAATTCAGCTGTGTATCACAGAAATGAAGTAGATATTAAAATATTTCATTTATTTTAAGTTGATTACAGTATTACTGTTTTTGCTGTATCTTTGATTAAATAAATGCAATACGTTTAACCACAAATTAAAAATTGTTGTTTTTTTAGGTTCAGCTGCTGTGACAAAATTTTGTGGAGCTTTGTGGAGTTTTTTTTTTAGCTGACATCATCATATCTCACCTAGTGACTGAATTACCCCCATAACAAAGTATGGAGGGGGCCGTGGTGAACAACCTGATAGACTTTGATTCGCCCCCAGAAGGGACAGCTCCCTCTGTTCTTGGACCTCCCAGTGGGGTGGAATTTTTCTCATCCGAGCCTCTCGTCCCTGAGCCTGCGAGCGACGCCACGATGGAGCCCCTTCTACCAGAGCCAATGGCCCCCACACACACTTCCCACAGAGAAGAAGATAGTGACGCCACCGAATCTGCCGACAGCGACAACGAGGACACAGAATCCCCATCGCACCCGTCGAGTACGCGACGGTCCTCATCCTGCTCCAGTCACAGTGCTGAGGACGCAGAGGAGACGGAGATAAGAGCGTTCATGAAAACCTACGTGGCAAAGCTCTTCCATGGAAGGTGATTTGCTCCACAAACTACACCTTAAAGGTCCCCTGAAATGCTTAGAAACACGCAGCGTTACTCTGTGTTGACGTCATTTTAACTGAAACAGGAAGACAGGGCGGGACATATCAAGCAGCCCC